CTGAACCATTAACACAGAGGCCTGTGGTTCCACAGAAGTCAAAGGGAAGAAAACCCCAGCTTTTAAGACAGACGTCGGCGAACTTTTTGACTCGCGGGACACAATTGTCCTAAAATTGACCAGGTGGGGGCGGGGTTAGGTCAGGAGCAGATAGATGGAGCGTTGGTGTGAACTAAGATAAATGACACGTTAAAAGTCATGCATAAAGACTAAAAAAAAAATGCTAAAATGCTAAAAATCATTTTCGACGCCCTCTATTGGGGAAACGTGGGAATTGCAGGGAAAAACGCCGTTTTTAAGTGTAATGATCAAATCATTTCAATATTGATTATTATCATTATATTATTTCCAAAAAAAAGTTTGGCTGACCAGATTAAAAAAAAGCTGAATGGGCCGCATCCGGACCGCGGGCCTTATTTTGCCCACGCTTGGCGTAAATGTTTGAACAAGGTTATATATATATATATATATATATATATATAAGATAATGTTAATGAATAAATAAATACTTCATGCTGTACAAAAACGTATGTCTCTACTAGTAGTAAAACAATGCAGAGGTTCTCAACGTGGGGGGCGCACCCCCTAGGGGGGGACATGGTCCCATTGTGCGCAGATGATGTTTAACAAGATTTATTTTTTGGTGGGGACAGAGTGCCGTGAAAACGTCACCTCGGTGGACTTACTTGCTCCATCTGTTCGAACATCCTCCTCTGTTGGTCCAGGATTTCTCGTTGCTGGTTGACCAGCGTCCCGTGCTGCTCGCCGAGGAGCCTCTGTAGCTCCTTGACTTCGACCTGCTGGCTTCGGAGGGCCTCCACCAGCGTCTCCTGGCTCTTGGAAAGCTGCAGCTGCAGCACAAGCGCATCTTCCGACGGAACCTCGTTGGTCCCTGAGACAAAGTTAAAAAAATCGAAAAAATATTGTTATAAGCGTCGAATTTGGATAAAAAAAAATCGCCTCTCGCCGATACTGACCCGGCTTCATGTCGCACGCCAGTTGAATAAAAGCCCCACGCTCCGATCCAAAATCGGGGAACTCGTCCAGAGATTGCGCGGCTCTCTCGGTCACATGAACAGGGCCGGAGCTTCGCCCCCTAGCGGCGTCTCCGCCAAGCCCCGCGCAGCCGTCTCCGACGCAGGAGCCCGGTTTGGGCGGCGTTCGCGGAGGCAGTTTGCAGCCAATCCCTCTGCAGTCATCGCTACTTTGGCGGTGAGACACCGTGGTGGGACACGTCCCTCCCGCGCAGTCTGGATGAAAAACCTCCGCCGTGATGGTCCTCGGGTTCGTCCTCCTGCTACCGTCCGTGGCGGACGGTTGTGCGTGGATGATGTAGGGCGCTAACGGCGCGCTCTGCGGTTGGTGATGACCGTAGCTGTGAGCGTCCCGCTGGTAACTCGGAGAGACTTTCCCCGCAGTGGAGACGCGGTGCTGCTGCGCCTGCGCCTGCGGCGGTCGTAGGGCCACTGCTGGATCCGCGCGTCTCTGGCAGTGCGCTCCGACGCAGCGTCTGCTCCACTCCTGCCCCGAGAAACACTGGGTCCCGCGGCAGAGCTCACCAACGCTTCCTGTGCCGAGCCTGCACACCGCTAGAAATATAAAGAACAAAGTAGTAGGCGCCATGTTTCGATTGCTTGATTCGTCAATTTTTTTTTAATTTTTAAAAAAAAAAAAAAAAAAAAAAATCAGATTGCCAGTCGTCCGTACATGTGTCTGAAGGAACCGTTAGTTCGAGCAGAACCTTCGCTCTCTCCCCAACACTGCCGTTCTGCGACCCCTCTCTGCCCCCTAGTGGAGATATCTGCGCTCCAACATGTGGTGCTCACTGGTTTCTAATTGGCAACGGCTTTTCTTTTCTCACTAGTCTCAAATTAACCCCTAGCTTCCCGGGCCGGACATTCCACCACGCTCACTCACTCATTCCATTGGTTCTAAAAGTGTCTCGGATTTTTTTTCTTTTTTTTTTTTTTTTTTTTTTTTTTTATTAAAAAAAGGATTTTTCTTTTTTTTTTTACCTGTTTCTAATTATTCCGAATTTTCCGATTTTAAACGCAGGATCAAAACAGGGGCCCCCCAAACCCCTGGTTCACGGACCGGTATTGGTCCGTAGGTCATTTCTTAGCGGGCTAGAGTGAGACGCGTTGAAAAATGTACGTAAATTTTTTTACTAATTTCCTGAATTCAACGAGAATCCGGTCATATAGATCGCAGTTCGCCGAACTTTTTTTTTTTTACTGGTATTTTAATAAATAAAATAAATTATTAAATATATATTTATTAATAATAATTCAATTAAATCATTTTAAATTAAATATTTTAATTAATAAATTAAAGTATTTTAATTTATTAAAATACTTTAATAAAATACCCAGTATTTTAAATTAAATAAAAGTTTTTTTTTTCTCTCTGGTGGTCCCATATTTAAAAAAAAATCCGAAACCTTCGCGACCCGAGTCAAAAACGAAAAACTTCTGGGAAACATGATGCGAGATGACCCCCAAAAAAAAAAATCTCTTGCGACCCACCTCAGGGACGCGACCCAGTGTTTGGGAAACAACGATAGGAGATAGTCTGTCAGTATCTCAAAAATAATATGTCGTCCAGACGTCGTCTTTGACCAACTAGAATCAAACATGAAGGAGATATGAAAGTTCATTTAATGATTCGCCAAAAAAAAAAATGGCCGCAGTGCTAACACCCAGTACCGTCCGACCGGGTTGGGGCGACCCGCGGGTTGGGAACCGCTGCTTTTAAAATATCGGCCTCTAATTTCCCTTTCTTTAGTTTCCCCCCCACATGGCGTCGATTAAAAGCTTTAGAAACACTCCTTTCGTAAATCTCTGAGGCCCCTCTCCCTCCGCCGTAGCTGCGCCTCGAGAATTCCGAAATGTTTATAAACCCCTCCCCCCGCGACCGCACGTGAGGTTTACTATTAGAGCTGATGGAGATAAACGAACGACCGGAAGTCGTAAAACGCCCGAGGCCATCCATGCGTTATCTACTGCTTATTACCTTTCGCGGCCGCTAGGGGGCGCTGAAGCCAATCTTAGCTGTCTATGGGTGAAAGGCCATTACAGCGACAAACAACCATTCGCACTCCCGTTCGTACATAAGGTCAATTTATAGCAGCGTTTCACAATTATTTTCAGTCATGCCTCCCTCTAGTGGACAGAAATGGTTTACATGCCCCGCTCTCTGAATGGAAATACTATTAAAAATATGCATATTCTTGTCTGTACAAACCACTGTAGGAGTGGGTTCTCTTTTTTTTCTCACCGCCCCGA